TACCATGAGATACACGTTTGTTCAAATAGTTCAACAAGTATCTTTGACTTTCAGTATTTGCTTAAGTTGTCAATTGTTATGAACTGTATGCATGAGTGTGTCGGATAAAGAATCATCACAAAATTGGGCGTTGCTCTTTCGCACACTCCCAAACGATAGCTAGTAGGCACTTGCGCTGCTTTTCATTTTGCTCTCTTCCTCCGTTTAAAAAGTCGATGTTTGTCTTTGGTGTTACTTTTGCAACTTTTCACATCTAGCTGTTCATTTCCGTGACTGGAGATCATTGCTTATGCAGACTCGATGCTTTCACTTTTTGCATTTGTTACTAAGACGAAACAATAGATATTTTCCGTATGAAATCTTTTAGTTTGAAAGCTATTTCGAATCCGTTCTAAAGCTCTTGAGTTCCTGTATGGAATTATGAAATATCCTTTATCGCTTTGTTTAGTCAAAGGTTTAGAATATTTCAAAGGGCATTATTTGCAAGAACTTCAGTGTTTTGATACCATTCAACCGGCCAACAACTGAAGCGAGAACTTTTCATGTGCCTGGCTACAACCTAATTAATCACATAGCAGCTTGTATGAACCGTTTGCTGGATCCAGATTGACCGAAAACTTGTTAAGTCGATCTAAACATTGACAATTAGCTTGCCTATTGTCAGTTGTTACTGTTAAAATCATCCATTTTCCTTTTTATGCAAAAGGCTCCTTTATGCTGTTAATTTTTTCTTCAATATGTTTGTCTCCCCTTGAAATTGTCTGTTCACTATTATTGATCGACGAGCGCTGATTAGCCGGCCTCCGCATGAAAACAGTCGAGAATGAGTTCAGCTAATTTAGCAAGGAACTAATAGATAATGCGATGGTAAGCAAATTAGATTTAAAAGGAAGTGACTGGATTGTGGCCCCGCGTGCTTACTACCGGTTTTCTGATCTAAAAGGAAGTAAATCGATTCACAAGCCAAGAGCCTATTACCAGGATTTTACTGTTGAGATGTCATTCAAGACTTTGTACCAAAAACGTGGATTACAGAATGGTCCATAATTAGGAATACAGATTTGACTGACGTGTAAATGATATAAAAGTCTTTTCACCTTCCTGGAACCCTTCAGAACAACTTCATTTCGGCAGAAAGATGGCTTGAAGGATATCCCGTAATCTTTTTATCCTCTTGATCTTCCAGTGGCTACCGCTAGCGGAAGCATCTCACTTTCAGCATGTGATGATCATATGGGCTCCTACAGACTCTTACAGCAACACGGTAAGAGCAGATTATTTCGTTACAACAGCACATTTCGAAGTACGCTCAGTATCGTTGTAGTAGGAGGGGTTTTCTACCATGCATGCATGGTTGTTCAAATGTTTATCGAGTACTTATGACTCGAGGTATTTATTTACCTTTTCAGCGATCATATATTCCCTGCAAATTAAAAACTGATCATGCATTTCTGAGTGTGCCTTAGACGAAATTGACCGCTGCTTTTTCGCGTGCGCGCATTCCCAGAACTATAGGTACTTGCAAACTTATTTTTTACTCTCACTTTTGTCTTCCTTCATCTCCATTCTTAACCCTCTCTATATCAGAAGAAAAAAGGAAAAATTGAAATTAATGTTTAAAACTTTGAATAATCAGTCTCCGGAGTACCTGAAAAGCCTATTTAAACCCTTCAGCACGAAATATGGACTCAGAAGTATTGAAAGCAAATTGGCTCTGCCTAAGCCCCGTACCGATTTTTTGAAACGCAGTTTCTGCCACAGTAGGGCGCATTAGTGTAATAGCTCACCATCTAGCGTCAGAGCCATAAGATATTTAATCATAAAAATTACAATTTCCTCGATTGTGGTTGGTTTAAAAAACTCCTATTTTCCACTAATTCACTTGCCAAGTTGTTATCGGACAGTTTGTTATTGGACAATTTGTTATTGGACAATTTGTTATCGGACAGTTCAATATGCCAATCACATTCAGAGTTGTAGTTGAAATCAAACAATCACACTCAAAGTTGTAGTTACGTGCGTGCGCGCGCGCGCTTGCTTTTGTGTTTTTGGCGCCTAATTGCCGGTAGGAGGCGCGGTGGCCTTAGAATGTTTACACCTTCTTTGTGGGTATTTAAATGCAAATTTTCCTTTTCATTCATAACTTGGCTATTCTTCTTTTCTCGGAAATTGTGATTTTATGAATAATTGGTAATAAGACTTCGTGTCGTCCAATTCGGTCTGTGATCATACCCGTGATAAACAAATCGGACTCCCGCTACGCGGTCGTCCGATTTTGTTATCACTCTCATCATAACCGACCGAATTGGACTCCACTCAGTCCTATTACCATTACTTATTAACTTTAGGTATGAGATAAATCGCCAACTGTCCTCCTCGTACTCTCACGCGGCAAACATGTAAATAATTTTTTTTTTAAAATCTCAATCTTGCAACTGATGATATGTCAATTGTGTGTCCATCATTTTAGACGTTACCATGGCAACCGCAAATCTCATGTAGGTTTGGCCAAAAATCAACTTTTTTGACATAATTCTGTATTTTTTCCAGTTTCCTTAATCAAATTCCAGAAATTCACCGATTTGAGGATCTCATAAGCATTCTGGCTTGATTTTGTATTGATTTCTAAGAAAATAATAAAATCCAAGAAGGCGGGTCAAATAACGTCATTGACCTCATATTCCGTCACAACCAACAAATGTGGTATCATTTGTAATGCAAGCTCAGGGCTATCTAATCAATATAAATTTATTTCGCTGTGCCTTAACAGAGTGAAACCCAAGGGGGGTACCATCCACCCCCTCCCCCGCCCTTGTACTAAGGCGAGGGGGGGTGGGGGTGGAGGGTTATGAGTAAGCTTGTACTCCCGATTGTTGATCAATACGTTATTGTTTTTGGTGCCACGTTTGCAACTTTCCACATCTTCTAGTTGTTAGATCACTTCGGTTTCTGAAGATTATTGATCATTTAGTGTCGTTGTTACATGCTGCCACTTCCCTTGCATTCGCTAGGAAACAAAATAAATTACCCGCTTGAACTTTTCCATTTCAAGCAATTTCGAATCCTTCTTAATTCTGTCAACGCAGTTCAAGACAATCGCCCTAGTGCTTATTTGCGCTTATTCACGGAGTAAGAGTATTTTTAAAATGCGAATCTGTGCGGTTGGATAAAATTCAATCCGCCAAAAGCCGAGAACATTCATACATTTGTTTATATCTTAATTATTTTGTGGTATATTTGTACTCCCGCCTATAAGAGTCTGGACACGTCTGTACCTCGTTTAGGTGTTATTACGTCAGATCTACGCGTTTTCCGATCAGGTCCGCCATGTGCTCGTTGTACGGTTGGATCTTTGTGTTCATTAAAGTTTAGTACTNCACGTCTGTACCTCGTTTAGGTGTTATTACGTCAGATCTACGCGTTTTCCGATCAGGTCCGCCATGTGCTCGTTGTACGGTTGGATCTTTGTGTTCATTAAAGTTTAGTACTTAAAATATTTCAATATAGACAGTAAGTGTTTATTAGTGTTTCTGGTGTTAACATGTCTGTTTCTTTCAGGTGCATACCTGATAACTACCTTGGTGCACCTCAATTAAGCGCATAGCAGACCACTACAAACGTTTTGCATTTCACATTTTTTAACAAAGTATTTGCTAAGGGACTGTTCATTTTTCATGGGTTAGCGGAGGGGGGAGAACAATTTTCCAATTTCAAGCAAGGTTAAGCAGTTTTTGACACTGAACCATAGGCATGTCAAAGCAGGCATAAATCAGAGCTGACATTACCTTGACTGTTTGATGAAAGGGAGTTGCATGGTTGTTAGTGAAGGTTTGAGCGTATTTACAGGGTCCAAAGTAGAGAGGGGG